GCTCGGCGTGAAAGTGATCCGTACGGACGGTGAATGCACCCCGTCGGGGACACTTACGGACTGTGGCTTGGACGGCAACGTACGGAGAGGGCTGGACGGCCGGGTGTCGACGGACCAGCGATCGGAGCTCCGGCGAAGCTCCGTGCGATCTTGTTTGCGAGACAGGAAAGAGAAAAACAGAGAAACAAGGCATTTTTGGACAAAAACTGGGCTGTGGTGGCTGCACGAGGTGGAAATGGTTGCTTTGGTGATGTTGGCTTGGTGGGGGCAAAGACTACCGGGTCTGTTCGGCGTGAATGCGATCTAGAAAATGGCGAAAACGGATGCGGAACCAAAAACGTGAAGAAGAAGAGGAAAATTCTGGGGAAAAAATGGCTGAATGGGTCTGCACGAGAGAGAGAGAGAGAAGACTATCTGGTCAAATGGGTCAAAGATAGCTTAGTGGGATCCAAGTGTCACAATCTAGTGCCTTAGGACAATTTTGCCCTTGATCCAATGGCTTTCTTTCCTTCTCATCCAATAATTTAGGGGTAGAATGGTCATTTGCTCTTAACCATGGTTGACCAGACCTGAGTTAAGCCTAACTCACCTTGGTTAATCCCAAAATTAATCCAAATTTCGGAATTAATTAAAAATGGCCTAGGGGTATTTTCGTAATTTTCCGATCCCGAACCAAAATTCCAATTTTCGCACATACGTGTTCCATATGTGCGTGGCCAACATAATATCGCGTCGGAATCGCGAAATTCACCGCGCAAGCCCTCGAAAATCCACGTCAAAGTCTCGGGAATAAAATAATATTATTTTTCCAATTTTTGTCGAAATTCCAATTTTTGGCCAAAACGACTCCTGGTATGCGTGGCCACCCCAAAATGACACTAGCCTCGAAAAATAACCTCAAACGACTTCAGAATCGCCATCGGTGACCAGAGGGGCAAAATCGTCATTTTCCGGGTCCCGGACCGAAATCCATTTTTTTGCAGAAATGGGTGGCCCCAAGGTTGGCCAAGCCAAAAACGTCATCGGCTGTCCAAAATTGTCACTTTCAAAATTCTCGATTCCCGGGCCCGAATTCCAAGAAATGACTAAAATCGAGCAATCGCAACTTTAGCTTATCTCTGGCTAACGGGTGGCTCATTGGGATTATGCGCTCTCGACCCGTGACCGATACTAAGTCAAATCACTTTTAAGTTTACTCCACCCGAGACGACCTCGATTGTCATATAATTGCGAGGGTCTGTCACTAGTGCCCTTTGGACACGATCAATCAAATAGATCGGTCTCGGTTGGCTCAAAACATTCCCTCGTCAATCGATATGGTCGAAGATCGAACCCAGGTCGAGTTCTTTGGTCGTGCGAACTCAATCCCGTAATAGCCCTACCCCTAAGGTTAGCATCCCGTGAATGCGCATTTCCGGGTGAGATCTCACTATAAGTGCATTGATCAAATTCATTTCATGAATCCCGGGAAAAGGATCGAAAATTCAGACTGTTACACATCTTGTCAAACCATACATGGGAATTGGTTGACCTTCCTCCTGGTAATAAATCACTACAATGTAAGTGGATTTTCAAGAGGAAAATGAAAGCGGATGGTACTATTGATAAATATAAGGCTGGGCTTGTAGTAAAAGGATACAAGCAACGAGAAGGTCTTGATTATTTCGATACTTATTCACCCGTTACTAGAATTACATCTATAAGGATGCTAATTGCCATAGCAGCGGTGAATAGGCTTGAAATCCATCAAATGGATGTGAAAACGGCTTTCTTAAATGGGGATTTGGAAGAAGAAATATATTTGGAACAACCCGAAGGGTTCATTGTTCCAAGACAAGAGAAGAAAGTATGTCGGCTTATCAAGTTACTCTATGGATTGAAACAAGCACCAAAACAATGGCATGCTAAATTCGACCAAGTCATGTTGTCGAATGGTTTTAAGATTAATGAGTGTGATAAATGTGTATATGTTAAGAACACTCATAATGGTTTTGCCATTTTGTGCTTATATGTAGACGACATGCTTATAATGGGCAGCGATAGTGAGGTTGTTAAGGCGACCAAACGCATGCTCACAAGTAAATTTGATATGAATGATATGGGGGTTGCAGATGTTATTTTAGGAGTTAAAATCCATAAGACATCTGGAGGATTAGCTTTACCACAGTCCCATTATATAGAGACGATTCTGAAAAAAGCAAGAATTTAGGCATATCACCAGTAAGTACCCCGATAGATGTTAATTTACATCTTTCAAAGAATACTGGTGAAAGTAAGGCTCAAAATGAGTATGCTAGTATACTAGGCAGTTTAATGTATGTCATGAACTGTACTAGGCCAGACATAGCTTGTGCGATTAGCAAGCTAAGTCGATTTACAGTTAGTCCAAATGAAAATCATTGGAAAGCTATGAAACGTTTATTGGGCTACTTAAAGCATACTCAAGATTATGCTTTGCATTACACAGAATATCCAGCGGTACTTGAAGGATACTGTGATGCAAATTGGATAACCGGCACTAAAGACACAAAATCGACAAGTGGATATGTATTCACACTTGGTGGGGCGGCAGTGTCTTGGAAATCATCCAAAAAAACTTGTATTGCTAGATCCACTATAGAATCAGAATTTATTGCTTTGAATAAAGCCGGTGAAGAAGCAGAGTGGCTTCGAAATTTCTTGGAAGATATTCCTAATTGGCCTAAACCAGTGCCCGCTGTTTGTATACATTGTGACAGTCAAGCGGCAATAGGAAGGGCAAGGAATGTCATGTATAACAGTAAGTCTCGACACATACGTCGAAGACATGACACAGTAAGACAACTTCTTTCTAGTAGAATTATCACCATTGACTATGTGAAGTCAAAAGATAATGTTGCGGATCCATTGACAAAAGGCCTAACTAGAGAGATGGTTGCGAAAACATCAAGGGGAATGAGTTTAAGGCCTATAAACAAGTCATCATAGCGGAAACCCTACCTAGTTGACTAGAGATCCCAAGATCTAGATTCAAAGGGACAACTAAATTATGAAGACAGTGTAGAGTACTGTCAAATTTTTGACTCATTCCCGGACGAAGACAGTACTAATATGTGAATGTTAAGCAAAAGCTTTTAATGATTCTAAATTGAGTATATGATATACTACATGTTCAGAAATCACCTATGTGAGTGTGAAGTGAGGGCCGCTTCTGTGAGAATTGAAAAGGCCGAATTCTCTAAAACACTCATGAGACCAGACGGTGTTCATGGCCAAAACGAACACAACAGTGAGAACCAATTTTGTTCGAGAAACAGTTGTGTGATTTTCATTGTCCAGGCTTACACCAAAGGTCGACAGTTCAAAGACATCAAGTCTACTGATTGACCGAGTAAGTCCGATAGGTTTCACTAAGGAAAGTTCAAAGTCTCAGACTACTTATCCTGATGCAACGTTTTCTCATGGAATAATCGCACATTGCATCTCATGCATATATGAAGAGTCGGGAAAAACTGAATCTCTTATTCATGTTGGGGATTGTTGGAATTTTGGGTACAAATCCCTTGTAAAGTGAATAAGAGGTGTGGATGGAGGAGTCCCACATTAAATAGAAGAAAGATTGGAGATGGATTTAAATAGTTGAGCCTCTCAAATGGGTTTGGGCCCTAAGGGGTACCCTACTTTTGTGGAAGAGAGAGGACCTACGCCAAGCTGGGTCGGTTTCCCCCCGCCCCCTGCGCGCCGCCGCCGGCCGTCTGGCCGGCTCGGCTCGGATCGGGCCGGGCCCGGGTTCCCGTCGATTTTATTTTTTCCCGAATTTATTCCTTTTGTTTCGAACAGATATGTCTGTTCGTAGGTTCGGGCTCTACCATCTGTCCGAGAGTGAGAGTAACCGAACCAAACCGAACGAAATTGTTCGCTTGGTGACTCTTCATTTTCGTCCTTCTATATCCGAAATTCGCTTCATTTTTGTCCACTTTTGGACAAATTGGCAGTTTGCACTTACTACTTCTGTATGTTTTATGATTTTACGATTAATGACTTGTCTCCCAGTAATGTGCTCAATAAAACAGTGCAATGCACACCTTTCCATGTTTATTACCCACTATTAAGCCTGGAATGTGGTAGATCCTAACCAAGCATAATCATCGTTCGACAAGACCACAATTCCTTGGAAATGACTGAAAGCTGGAAGTCTCTATAAAGTGGAAAAGCCGCAGTAATATATGAAAATAAAGTTTATGTCAATCTAAGAGCTAATCCCATACGCAACAAAAAATAAAATAATGATTATGTCCTCGCCTGATTCAAAAAAAAAAAAGTTATGTTCACGTGCGATACAGAAATTCAGAAATTTGGTCATTCAAATTTACTTATAAAATAATTGCATTTCGAGCTCGGATCATAACGGTACTTGTGCGAAGCAATTTTTTTCACCAAGAGGGCATGATATTTAATTGAAAAGTAGGGCGTTCTAGAGAAAGATACGGCGCAATGAAAGTTCAAGTCTAATTGCCAAGATAATCCTGTTGCAATTTATCTATTCTACTTCAGCAAACATATACAGCATATTCTAATAGCTTAAGCCCATAAGAATAGAATTATTATGTCCATTGTGATTCAAAAGAAAGTTATGCTCATGTGCGTATAGAGATTCGGACATTTGTTCATTCGAGATCTACTTATAAAATAACCACATTTTAAGATACTAATTAGATCTTAACAGTACTCGCGCAAACCATATTTCTATTTCACCAAGGGGACATGATATTTACTCCAAAAAAAAAATTCAGCATTCTAGAGAAAAATACAATGCAATGAAAGTTCAATTCTTACAATCGAGTTGCAATCTACTTCAGCAAACATATCAAGTATATTTTGATAGCTTAAACTTTTAGAGAAAATAGCCACGCACTAAACTCTAAAATGATTTTATATACACCGGTCTCGATTTTGATATCAGATTGTATGTTTATCGGATTGCATGCGCACTCAAAATAAGAATGGTATGTCAGTTGTAATTTGCTGAAGACAGAAGACTACTATCTATGAACAGTATGCTCAAGATAAATCACCCAACGACACAATGAAATTGGATAACAAGTTGCAACTACAGTTTGCACGCTCAGTTGATAAAAGTCAGAGGATGGAACAACGTTGGTAAAGAAAGATAACAATGAATCATAACTAATTCCAGTTTGCACCTCGTGCTTTTTTGTGAACTTGGAACACATAAGGCTGACGATCTCGTTCTTAAATTGTGATATACTCCGGCCACCTTGTTCTCTAAAACTGAGGATCTTGTCCAAAGAGTAACTAAGTGAAATGAGCACAGCTTACTTTGCATACACTATAGAAGTCATCTGTGAAGTATGCAGTAATCTCCTGTCAATAACAAGAAGAACTGGCACTTTCATAGAAAGGTCCTTGTAGTTGTATCCAACGCAACCAAAGACTAAGTGTGTGATTCTTCGATAGATACTTAATCCATACAGCCGAAGAGAACGTAAACCGAATGCACTAAACCAACAATTAGAGCCGGCATACAGCTTGGATTGCTTGAATCGGGTCAATCATCTATGCAAGGATCTTTCATGAACAAAGCTTTAAGCTTCGCTCAAGTTACGGATTAGAGCTCAAGTATCCCAGCTGCTCAGCCAAGACATTCACGTCTTCCCCGTCCTCGTCACCTCCAACACCAAGTAAGCCAGCTTGTTCAATGCCCTCGTTCAACAAATCTTCCCAAAAGACTTCATCAAGTGCTTTATTACCTCTATTCTCATTCTCTTCCACTAATCCTATCTGATCTTCCTCTACATTATTACATTGACTTACACCAATTCCTCCAACCATGTCCAAAGCAATTTTCTCAAGCTCAAACCCTTCGAATTCATCGATATCTCCAAAATTTTGAGGTCCAACCTTAACAAAAGTAGCTATACCTGGTTCATTATTATGGACTAGTTGAACATCATCATCGCAGAGGCTCACGTTACTTGGCCCTTGATCAATCGAGCGCCTCCTCTTGTTCTTCCCAAACACTTCCTCGAGCTCCTTCCTCCTGTCCTTCTCTTGGACCAATTGCTGTAGAAAATCGGGATTCTTCATCGCTCTCGCCAAGAAGTTCATCATCTGGTGTTGCTTCCTTTCCGTCTTCTTGAGCCTTTGTTCCATCACTTGGAGACAAGTCCTGGAGGTCTGCTGTTGCTGCCTAAGCTTGATCAGCTCCATCATCAAGACCTGCTTGTCGCGCTTCAACCGGTCGATCTCTCCGTCGAGCCCAAATCTGCCTACTTCAATGCACGGGTCGAGCACTTGCTGTGAATTGTGGGGTACTACATGAGTGGTTCTTCTCCTCTTAATGGTTTTAAGGAGATATTTTTTCCCTCTTAGGAAACCTTCATTAGCAAACTCCCACCTATCTGGATCAACCTTTCTAAAGCCCTAAACCATCCAAAAATAGTATAGTCCAGTGTTTGAAAATCGATGGAGAGACTAAAATGTTAATATGCTATTGTCATGTCTAGAACTTCCGGGAAGAGCTTCACATGTGATAACAATTGTTAAATTAACTTTTGATATGAGAAAGTCTGACACTAATTGTGTCGCTGTGTGCGCTGCTTATATATGACGAAAGAAGCTAACACAAATTAAAGGCACGGACAGTCTGGATCTTTCTGCTTTTTACTCAATTAATTAAAGACACAAACAGTCCACTTAGAGAGCAAAAGGGCTTTACTTAATCATTATAATATTCAGAAAAGTACAAATTTATACTGTGTTCCAGGAGCTTCATTAACATCAATGAACAACGGGAGTAAATTTCTAGTCCCATCTAAGACCAACCCTACACCCTACACAGCAAAAAAAAATCACCCTACATCACTTCCAATGAATCTTAAATGAAGCAGATTAGATCAACAAACTTACATAGGTATTGAGCTGCCTGATGAAGCTAGAGAAGTTGTTGTGCTTGAAGTATCTGGGCAAGAGGGACATGGCAAAGGCCTGAGCATCCCACACCACAAAGCTGTTGTTACCCTTGCTCCAAGAGACTATGTGGTCGGAGGTCGGGTCATCCACAATCTCATATGTCTTGGTGAGGAACGGAGGCGGGCCCAAATCATGGAGGCCCTCCATGGGCCGAGGAATTGCATTTGCAGTAGTAAATGGAGAAGAAGATGAAGAAGAGGCGACTCCTCCCGAACGCTCCTTCTTCTCTTGAACTTGAGGGTTATTCATGATTGATCTATTTGCTGGTGTGTTGATTGCATGAGCTAATGGAATTTTGTCTCCAGCGGGTCTTGATTTTTGAGCACCCAAGAAGGAAGAACTGCAGCTTTGGCTCAAGATCTTGTGCTTCTTTGGTGGGGTTATTCTCAGATCCTCTCAAATGGGTGCTCGAAAATGCAGGAAAAGATCAGAAACAAGGACTGCATGTGGAGGATCTTGACAGATGAGTCGAGCCAGAGCAAGAACATACTAATCCAGTGAAGACCCATTTCCTTTCATCTTTATTCAGGTTTTAAAAAGTATATATAGGACAAGAATCTTCCCAGATAGTATAGGAATTGAAGATGAAGAGAAAAAGGGATTGGAGACAAGGTGAGATTGAAGATGTTGGAGTGAGCTTTTGAGCCAAAAGTGGAGGAGGAAGAGTTTGAGCTGCTGAGGTATGGAGCATATGCTGTGTTGGAGAAGGAAGGAAGGCTGAGAGGAAAAAGGGAAACAGAAGAAGGGAGACCAAAAATGAGAGAGCCAAGTGTGAAACTATGGTCTTTTAGCTATTTATATATACCCAAGTTTCCTTTTTTTTTCTTTTTTTTTTTAATCATTTTTCTCCTGCCCTTATTAAGAAAAGTATTTGGCTCCTTGGTCTTGCTTTGGAAATTTTTTTTATTAGTTTTTATTCATCAAATTTTTCCTCTTTTTTTTGGGTTAATCACTCACTTGACAGTGAATTTTAAGGTTATCACTCGATAAAAGTCTGACGGGAAAATAAATAGGGTAACTGAGTTTTGCAAGAATGCTTCAATCTAAATTATGAGAGAAACTCCCCCCCCCCCCCTCCCCTTTTTAATTTCTAATTCAATGGAAAATCGGAGAAATTATCCATTACGAGAGTTCTTACAAATAAAATTTGTATTAAAAGGAGACTGAAAACTTGGACTAAAACATGGCTTCAATATTTACTTTTTACTTAACTCTATCATGCGGCGGAGGGATTTTGACTTTTTTCTTAATTCGAGAGTTCCGAAACTTTCAATCCATACAAATATCGATATGCAAACACACACAAGCGGCTTTTCAGAATCTTTTGAAATCCGAATAATGTCCTAAATTTTGCCCTCACACCATGTCTTGGCAAATATTGAAAAAAACAAACCAATTGCTGTGCTTTTCGTGATCCCAAATTTTCAAGAAAATTTAGAGATGGGAATGCGTGGGGCAACAGTGATGGAGGGTCCAGTGTTTGGGAATTCTCTCTTTAATTGATGATGATGATGACGACGACGACGACCTTCACTAAAGTTGAGATCTTTCGTGCAAACAGAAGACAAAAGTGGCATCAGATATTGTTTTGCCCCTTTCTCCTTTGGGAAAAGTAGTGGGGGATGCCTTCCCCTCTTTTCGTTTAAAGTTTTTTGCAGCATCCAATCCAAGCCCTAGATTTGGCTAGAAGCGTACGTGGGAACCCTTGATTTGCCCAATGCACATGGTTCTTAGACAGATAGACACGTCTCCACCGTTTGTCATTATATATGTTTACATATCATTTTTCCTCAAGATCATGAGACAATATATATACGTGTCTTTTTCAATCTCTTTTCTCTCCCCCCCACGTAAGCAAAAGGAGCTACAAAAAATTCCCATTTTTAGACATATCTTTACCCAAATCTACTCTTGTAGATTAGCATTCCATAGATAGAAGGGAAATGACACAAATGACCTCCTGAATTTTGATTGAATGTGCGATATCGTCCCTAAACTTTTAATTTGTTCAATTCAGTCTTCGAGTTTTTAAACATTTTCATATAGTTTAGAGAGAATATTGAGCATTTATCGATAGTTCAAAGACCATATAGGAGAAATTAAAAATCCAGGAATGACACTATACATTGACTAACATTGAGGGACTTCATTGTACAAATTGAAAGCTCGGGGATGATATTGTACGTCAGACCAAAGTTCACGGACCATTTATGCTATTATCCCTCGATACAAAGTATAAACGCAAAATTGCTATTTCGAATATAATTCTCGACTTCACAATCTGAGTAATCTAGTCATTGAACTCACGATCGACTTGTCTGTCGGTACTCTAAAAGTTCGGGCACCATATTACTCAAATCACGAATCACGAGACCTTCTTCGAGAAAACAGGATAAGTCTTAGAAGTTGAAAGTGCGCCTCATACTTAACGAACGAAATGAGTTTTTTCGGGATAATATTTATCAGCTCGATCTATCGTATGACCAATGGATTCAAAGTCGGCTGCAATGTCAATTTCTCTTATTCTATATGAGACGACCGAAAAGAGGAATTGATTAATTAAACCGAGAGATTCGAACTTTGTGGAGTGCAGCACAAACGGGTCCCATTCAATTTTATAATATTTGTCGTTCTTTCTAATAATAGGCCACTTGGAAATATCTGGTGCACCCAAAAATTGTTTATGCCAAAAGAGGCATGCGCTTTATGCCGTGGCACCGTCTGATGGGTGCAGATCCTTTCTTTTTTCAGACATCATGACTCACCCAACATGGGTACACGTGCCGCGACCTTGGCTCCCCGATAAAAAAATATTAAAATATTATTGACAACTAACTTATGATGTCGGTAAGTTCGGACTTTAGAGGCGTGCTCCACGCTCGTTCGACACACCGATCTGTTCGAAATCGAATGCGAATTCGACCTCTAAAACCGTCGGGTACGCTTGTTTTCGCATAAATTCTTCGATTTCATCCAACAGTACCGCCCTTTTCCCTAGAACGTCATAAGGGCGAGAGCTAGCCCGACGCTCTCCCGATTGAATCGACAGAAAGATCATTCGTGTCGGTACTCGTTCGTCGACCGGGCCGGTAAACCCAGTTCGAGAAAAAGCTGAGCGGGTAATCAAATCGGTAGCTAGTTGAACCGGCTTAATATGATTTCTAAGAACGTAAAATTAACGGTGGATATAAACTATGATTTATGATATGATTCTTTTGCTTATTTAATTAATATCCACAAGAATTTAGAGGCGTGCTCCACGCTCGTCCAACACACCGATCCGTTTGAAATCGAATGTGAATTCGACCTCTGAAACTGTTGGGCATGCTCGTTTTTCGCAGAAATTCTTCGATTTCATTCAGCCATACCGCCCTTTTCCCTAGGACGTCAAAAGGGCGAGAGCCAGCCCGATGCTCCTCCGATTCAATCAATGGAAAGAGCCATTTGGGTCGGTGCTCGTTCCCCGACCGGGCCGGTAAACCCCGGCTCGAGAAATGGCCGAGCTGGTAATCGGACCGGCAGCTAGTCGAACCGGCCCAGTATGGTTTCCGAAAACGTAACATGAACGTCGGCGATATAAACCGTGACTTTAATGATCCGATTCTTCTGCTTATTTAATTAATATCCGCCAAGATATTTATGCACTTTTCTAGGGAAAAAGAAAAAAGAGGAAGAAATGCGAAAAAGCGCATCACGGACCCAAAAAAGCACGGGGCGCACGGGGCCCACCATTCAACTGACAGGTGGCATGTCCGAAAGCGAAACGGCAGGCCCAAAGAAAAACCCCCAATAAAAAAAAAAAATTTTGGGGGTAATTGCACCAACGCCCCCCTGAACTTTTGATTTATTTCGACGTAGTCCCTGAACGATAGCACAATCGATGTGCGATGCCGGTCCTTTGGGCTTTTCATTCGCTCGATGCGGTCCTTGAATTTTTTTTTTTTGTAAATGTTCGATCTGGTCCTTAAACTATATGAAGATATCCAACGTTGCCCTTCCAGTAATTCGAGTTCATGGACAATACTGAACATTTCCATATAGCCCGAGGACCTAATCGAACGTGTGCCGAAAAATTCAAGGACTGCCTTGAACAAAATAGGAGTTCGGGAACGACGTTGCGCATTGATTGGGCTATTGTTCAGGGATCGTATCGAACAAATTTATAATTTAGGAACGACATTGCACGTTGAGTCAAAGTTCGGGGATCATTTGCGTCATTTTTCTAAGGGAAAAAAAAAAAAACGAAACAGGAAAGGACTCATCATTCAATGATGTAATGGAGGACCATCCTACAAGAGGACCACACAGGTGGAGAAGGCGACCACAAATCCTTGACATGCGGTTGAAGTCCGCAAAGATCCAAAGTGGGATTGGAAAATTGATACAGAAAGCGTCCACGCTGTAATTTGAACTAAGAATCTCGAACTCTTTCGTAACGGATTAAGAAGCCATTCGATTCGAAAGAAAACTAGGGTAACACTGCCTATGTGCAGTTAGGAGTCTGCGCGAATCAACCGATCGAACCGAGGCGGTTCGTGAAAAGGGTTCGAATGCCGATAGGATGCTGGAAGAATGGACGGAATGCAAAGCCGCGACAAGTAGAGCTTTTCGCGAGCTCGCCATTCATGTAAATGAACTTGCTGGTGCAAGCTTTCAATCAGACTCCACACACGTTATGACAGAACTAATGTTCATACCAGAATAAAAAGTGATGACCATGGACTTAGACAAGATCGAGATCGAGTTAAGAAGACAAATAGGCGGGCAACGACCTGGATGCAGATGCCCTGCGATCCGGTAGGTGCATTTATTTAGTAATCGTCGAAGGGTCTCTTGTTTGTCACTCTGTCATGCTTCGTTTCATGCCGCGGCATCGCAAGCGCGATTGCCCGCTTCTTTCCGGCCAAAAGCTTCCAGGTACGCCTTCCTGCACCGTGGAAGATACCGTATTCACAACATGCGAGCTAGCGGAAAATGCACTTCATGTTACGAGATTAAAACGGGAGCGGACCTAGCCAGCAGATGATCGTGAGGACGATAGTAGGGGGTCCAAATGGGGCTGCCAGCAAACAATCGCATCGCCTGCACGGCCATAGTTCTGAGAAACAGATCTCGACACAACACGAGCATCGCCGTTGACGTAATAACCGAACTATTGCATACGCTAGAGTACCTTGATATAGTTGTCTGAATCGAGGGTGAACCGGTGGTAGATTCCGGCAGGGAAAACTATCATTCCTCCCTTCTTCACCCAAACCCGAATCCAAACGTCATCCTGGTCCCTCAAGTCAAAGTAACCTGTAGCAGGAGCAACAGCATTAGGAGGAGTGAATTGGTTGCAGAAGTTGCATCTGACAAACCCCTTCAAGACCAGCAAGCTCACCACTTCCGGCCAGACAATAGCGGATCTCCTCATCGGAGTGAAGATGTTCTGTGAAGAAGTTTTTGATCATCTCCTCGTAATTCGGCAGCTTCTCTGGACAAACTTCACAGAAGTCCTGAAGACGGTTTATTCAAGGAACTCGAGAATAAGTTAAAACAGAAAAGAGTGGGTTTGTACATGCTTGCAGTTGCAATGCATAGCAACATGTACCAAGCAGAGCTTTTGGCTACATGGGGCAAACATAAAATTGGGAAAGTCGAGGATTCAACGATCATTGGAAGGTTTCCAGAAAGATAATCGATTCCGTAATTTAGATGCAATAAACAAATAGACGAATTAAGGCATGAATAGTCCTGATAGAAGTCAGATTCAAGGATCGATAGGGACTGTCACAAACCATATAGGAATATCCGCGCTCTTCACATATATTCTTCAACTCATCATCTGTTTCATGGTTATCTGCATCAAGTCTCCAGCTAAGTACTCCGAGTGCTGCAAATCAACATGTTCATACAATCGGCTTAGTATACCGAACTACCCATTTTGATAGTCCCAACAATGGAGGACAAAAGGAATTTTCCGCAAATCCAACCAGCAAGTTGCTCCAGGGAAACGAATTCCTTGGGCTCACGATGATGCGGGAGTCTTTGGTCCTCATCGCTGTCGTCTATGTACCATGCTTGAATGACTTCCTCTCTTGGATCCTATAAAGAGTTACAAAAGAGACGCTTTTGTCAAACATCATCATTCTAAGTATTCAACATGCTAGAGTAGTAAACAGAGCAAAACATCCTTGTTAGGATAGACACATAGATTACTCACTTAGAAAAAGCAGACTGATCATTGCCTAACCCTTGCTATTATCAGAGATCTACAATAGAGGCCAAAGTACAATGGCAAGGGATTATACTGCCGACATGTGAATTCACATTCGAAACCAACTCTACAATTGTTGATCCACCAAAAGCTTAAATCAATTCTTCCTGACATTTGTAATCCCCTGGCCATGTCGGCATCATGGTTCTCAGACCTTAATACCTTGGAGCTGCCCAATACTAGAATGATATAATCACAAAGTCATTCTGTCTTCAGTTACTCAGTAGCTTGCAGCAGCTATACTGTTTTAGAACGTTCAAGCAGCGCAAAGGCTCATTCGAGCAAAGATTCCATTAGTCACGAATGTCACGGAACAACAGAACAGTGAAAACTATAATCGCGGCACAACATCCGCATTCTGTCCAGACAGCGATCAGAAACTACACTGGATTTTAGGAATGTTCAAGCAACAGAAAGAAGGATCATTCAAGCCAAGAATTCAACGAACATAACAGAACAAACAAATCAGTTACAAACTAGGGTGCTGGGTCCCCGATCGGTCTCGAATGGCGACGGAATTTTTTTGATATGTTTTTTGATTTCCTTACGAAGTTTCAAACACAAAATTTGAGAGATCTTTATGTATCATCTACCTAATTTAATGAAGCCCCTGGCACTTCCCTTACATCAGATATTGCCTGCACAAAAGTTTTCACACCTGCTTCAGAAACTACAAATATTTGAGTTGTGTGTTGAGCTGAACATATTATTTTGTGGGCTAAGAACCCAATGGGCTCAACCCTGATAAGGCTTGAATAGAGCAGCTCACAAATCTAATGGTACAGTCGCCCATGTCTGAAACCATAGATCATAAAGATTGGAAAAAGTTATCGGTCATTCCCGACCACTGATGATGAAGGATTCCTCGAAAAGTTGAGGATTCATAGTCGAATCCCTTTTAATCGAGTTGAGCTCGACCATAAGTAATTCTTGACTCGACCTTCTTGCAAGCGTAATTAACAGAATTATGTAAATTTCGGGGCCGTATGAAAAACTATTTCCGAGAAATTGTTTTTTGGACTTTTCGGCATTCCAATGACGAAAAGTAAGCTTTTTTCCATAGACTAAAAACAACTAACTTAGATTGGGGAGAACAACTTCACCTTTTGGTAATAAGGAAATCAATGTCCTTGATTTCTTGTTGCACGTCCAAGTGAGAAGAGTAAGTTTTTTAATTCCTATCTCTCATCAAAAATTTTTTCTTTTTCCTTTTTTGCCATTAGTCTCATCTGTTTTTTTTTTTCATTAATGCTCGTGTTCTTCTCTATTTCCAGAAAAGCACTATCATATATAATATTATACAAACAAAATTCACAATATATTTCCTAATTTCATTGTACCGCTTGCTATTTTGATAATTACTGAATAAACGAAAAAAAAATTGATTTCAATTTGGTAGTCATTACATGTCATTTTTAACAACAGAAGCTGCCTTTAGCAGATTTATTTATTATCAAATATCATGAAACCAATTTTTTCAACTCGTTTTCGGCCCAAATAATAGAAAATGGTATAATTTCTAGCAACAAGAAATTTTCGGTGAAACAAACAGACCCAAAACTACATACAATTTACACATTTTCATTGGGCTTTGAAAACTCGAGATGGACAGGAGCTCAAGTTTTACCTTGAAACTCCGTTTTCCAATGACCGAGTCCATTGAGTTTAAAACCCAAATGCATAGAGTACCGTATTAAATCGAGCTCGAGATCAATAAACCGAGTTTGGCTGAACTAAGAGTCTATTGTTCAAGCGGCACATCACATCACGCCGACTCGACTCGACTCGACTAGACCGCACTGCTATATGTTAACTATAGCTCTTTCTTTCGTCGTCCCTCGTTGACAAATTCGTTCAAGCTCTGTCCTAGCTCCGCATACATCTAAACAAATAGCAAGCTAGAAGCTTTCCTATGATCCCACTTCAAACTCACCAGCTCCTATCTAAAACCAACCCCAAGCAGAAAGAAGATCACAAACAAAACACGTGCATGACCGAGGGGAGAGGAGTGCTAGTCTTGCCATTACCTTGATCTCTGGGGCCGCCATTTCGTTCCCTCCGATCGCTCCGCACGGACTTCGCCGGTGCTTCGCCGATGGTGGAGAGTCGACGAAACTTCCCTTAGTGTACTAGGGTCTTTGATAAACCATTGTCACGAGATGGTTAGCTTTATATAAAGGGTCGAAACCAGCGGGATTGACTCGTAAGTCTCTTTTGCTTTAGAACAAAGCCACAGCTGTTAGAAAATAGTGCTCAACTCTTCAAATCGTGGAATTTTGCAAAAAGTTAGAGAAGCAGCATACAAAGCCACAGCAGTTGGAAAAGAGAGTATTCGATTCTTTCTTCAAATCGTGGAATTGTGCAATAAGGTTGAGAAGCACACAAAGCCAGAGCAGTTAGAAAAAGAGTAATCAATTCGTCAAGTCGTGGAATTCCACGAGGGTTTAAGATTAGGGTCGGTCATAAACTACTGCGTCAGGGCGAAAGACAGAAAGGCTTGTACTTTCTCTCCAAAGAAAATGGGTTTTGCATTAGCGTGTGAATTGGCCGCCACGATTTGATTGCATCGCGTCTAGCGGAAGTATCTTTTAGCATTCAAATGTGGAATTCGTAGGGATACAAGTCCCGCGAACAACGTGATCGGCTCGCTCCACCACCACCTCCTTATTAACCAAAGCGATCGATGCTTAAAGTCCTCTTTCGCTACGGGAGACCTTCGTGCTATGGTAAATGAGTGCATGCATTCGTCAAAATCAGAAGTTTTGTTTAAGCAAATATCAGTTCTAATCATAAAACTTCTCTCAAGTCGCTCGCTTTGTAAAATCTCTCTTGTTTCTTTGCCTCCTGGCTCATCAAAACAGTGGGCTGTCTATGGTTCTTTGGCAGTGCTGTCCGAAGGTGCTATGAAGAAAACAACAATGTCCGACACCGACAGAGGCGGAGGCAACCTAAATATGGTCAGGCTCGAGATTCCAAGAATTTTTCGTGGCTAAAGAACATGGCCGGCCTTTGTACTAAGGCTAAAAGTAAACATAAAGGTCAAGAATAAACAAGGGCTGCCTCGACAATCTCAAGCCCTGCCCCTCTTTTCTAATCTTTTTCCCTTTTCCCCCCATCTTCGGGGTACAATGTATTAAGCCCTCCTTATGAGTCAATGAAGATGGAGAAGTCAAGGCCATATCCTTTGTTTACTACAATCATGAGTTAAATCAAAATGTTTAAGCTCCAAATCCCCAAACAATGCCAAGCTATAGAGTATTCATCATGTGATCTGTTTGACCATGAGGGTCATTCTTTAAAGATTTTGTCGTCGGGAAAGCCAGTAAAATGACTAGACTTCCCACTAGGGTGTAGCCAAATCCACACTACTCCTTGTTGGCCTACAAAAGACATGCAGAGCTCCAAAAGGTATTCCAATTCGAGCGATAGAATAGCCGTTTTTGTTCGGCATCATCGGCTTCAAGACAAATGCTCCAACAGCCCTCAACTCAATCACTGTGAGAAAAGGAGTACAATCATCGAGCTAAACCTAAACTAGCATAAGCTATGCCGATACCGGCAGATGGCGTAGCGCATCTTTTACATATGGATATTGCTTACATCGTGGCACGTAAGGGGAGAGAGAGCGTGGAAAAGCTTCTCTCGATTAACTAACCTCAGCATCATCAATCAAGATAGCCTCGAAGATAACATTGAACTTCTAGAATATACAAAATTTGATCCGACGACGAGTGCGAAGACATGCGATCCAAAGCCGGTCCTCCTCTAGAGATCTCTAACGAGAACGGGCAGATATATGTCCGCAGATGCAGAACACATCGACTGCAGTAAGACCAGTTCCATCATTTTGCCATTTATTCGAGGTATAGCTATTATCTCAACGAAACTACCATCATCGGCTCCCAGGGCCACGCCCTTACATAATATCTCCATATTAGGGACCTGCATTAAAGACAACAAAAGGCAAAATATAAGTTATGATCATAACAGTTGAAGAACTGAAATCGCCAAAGAGAGCAGAGTTGAAGGTCCCAAAAAACTGTCTCAGCTAAATAAACTCATATCTTTGAATTATTAGTCAGACCTATCAATGCATCTCAACAGAAAATAACACAGAAGAACCTTTACAACCTTAAGGTATTCAATCAAGTCTGTAGTCCCCTGCAGACCTATTGATCTATCTATGGCAAAAATAAAATTTTGAACCCTGGTACATTAATGAGCAATAATAGAAGAATAAATGACAGAACAATTGTATGGTCTTTTTAATCAGGACATCAATAATGGTACACAATCACTCACAGACAAAAAATAGATCAGATACATTCTATAAAAGGAAGAACTGATTCATAAGCTCTTAGCTTAGTAAAGAATATGACCCAGAAAAAAGGAATGAAGTATGAATAGCTGCAGACTTTTTCCCGCAAAACTTGTCACACGGGAAGTTTGTTCGGGTTCAACTGATAGCCTGTGTCATTGACTTCCAAAAAGTTGACTTATATGCAGAGGAAATATCGAAGAACCAGAGAATGGATAAAGGTAGCAGGACTTGTGTTCACGCACACGCTACAGACTTCTCTACAATCTGACAACAGTGGCTATATTAGTTTATCAAATTTTATGAACCTAGTGGTGAGCAGGGTACTGCAAGATAACAGAAAAATTAACCCAAAGATCAACAGAAAGACTGACTGTTTTTCCCGTGAGCCATCCCAGGTTGTGGTGCACAGGTCCTTGCATTTTTGCTTAATTGTCCATCTGGAAAAGGCATCCTTATTTGGAACATCTCCAAGCCTGAAGAGGCTGGTCCAGCATCTTTCCTGGATTTAAATCTGCCCGACAAAATTTCAAGCCAAGGAAGTAAAACCAAAATGAACGCATCTTGATATCTATTGTTTGAGAGGACTCTAAACAGAAAGAAAGTAGAGATGTAAAACGATCATGTCACTCACCTGTCCTTTCGCTTGTCAAAGTACTTCTGCAGCCTAACTTTCCGATTCATATGACCTTCCATGTCTGAAGAAATACAATCATTAACCTCATATTGATAGACGACAATCACAAAAGAAATCTAACTTTCGAATCAAGAGAGTATTGAGGTTAAGGTCACTTAGCCTATGGCATATTTTAACTCAAGTGTTCAATGTTCATCCGTCTATAAGGTAACAATCGTTTAGTCTCAGAAAAGGTTAGTTTCACTGACCCCGCACAACGTAATGCTTGTTTTTTTTCATTGGATATCTTAGAAAATTGAATTTCAATGCTCTGAATATTCGATATTGGATGCCAAAACAGAGTAGAAATAGCGCAAAATTTTGACTTTATTTGATGAGCTACCCGTTTGTCGCACCTTCACCCTTAAGTCCATTAATAGACGATAGAAGTAAGTTGTACAATTTCACACTACAAAAAGTGTCATTGCCAAACCCAAGTACTTTAAGAATGCAACAAATCACCCCCAAGTTCCTTCTAGGTTCTGTCACAATCTCTCTTCCCTGCTAGGCAACCTAAGCACTGTGTATACGGGTAAAATTAGCAAGCATCTACCTTTATATTTCCCATATTAGATAGCTCCAAGTGAACTTCATGCAATACAGAATATACTGCAGATTCGACATGTGTAGGACTTCCCCATTTCATTGAGGAAATTCAATCTTCTTGATTAAAATAAATAACAATCAACATCTCAGAAGGCCCCACCAAAGCATGCAATTTGAACAAATGCTTGAAGGATATTATTCTTGTACAAATATTTGTACTACTTTGTTTTAGCTTAAGCTTTTGAGATGAAAAATTGACTTTCAGATATTCATTTTAAATCACAGTGCTTCCATATTTGACCAATCTAGCTTTTCCTCCCATTTATGAATCCCAAGCTTCATATCAAATATTAGTCCGATTTAGATCATTTTTAGCTTTTGAAATAGTACTGCCATATCAGTGTCACTCCCTCGTCACTTGGAATGGGAGGCCATTAGAAGAGGAATCTGGTTTTACAGACAGCAACACCACTGATGCTCTATGAATGGGAAAAGATTCATATTGAGAATTTTCATTAAGCCTACCACTCACTAAATCATGCTAAAGGTTTGCAAGCGCATATTGAATACAATAAGCTGAAGCAAGATCCATAAATAAGATTAATCAGATTAACCAATTCGACATACTGTTAACGTCAATCACACCTGTTTGTGTTGTATGAGAGACCATTGCTCTCGGAGGCAATAGGCACGAGTTCTCACTTGTGGCCTGCATATGACAAGGGAATGACCAAATTGCCGCACTTCCGTTTGATGAATCATCCAGCGGCAAAGGGATTGGACTAGCTGCAAGTTGCATGATTGCCCGCGCCTGCAAGACCATGCATGAATGTGATCACAGGCCATCAGCTGTGCAGGTAAGACTTGAGAGGAGATATCTGTGCACTGTTGAATAGTTCATTACCTTGTCAGGAGACACTCTGTCATATACATTCACCTTGCCACAGTAGAAAATTGTCATTTGCCCCAGCGTAACCTCTCCAGCACCAACATTTCTGCAAAATGTTGTCGAGCACTGCCTGTTAAAACCTTGAACTGAACCTTACTCTTGAGCTCAGAGCTATGTCTCAATCCCATGCTTCCAATGCGTAAGGCAAATTCCTTTCTATATGCTCCATGAGACAGTCAGATATCATCTCAAGGAACATAACGACTAGTCAATTGGCAACGCTGCAAAGCCTATCGTACACCAGAACAGTACTCATACCTATGATTGTTGTCAATATATATATATGCATTTCCAAGTTTAGACGCTTGTGGCATATAAACCCAGTAGATACATCAACATTCGACAAAGAACGGACTACTCCACCCAAGATAAATAGATACATAATTCAGCAGAGAGAATCGTCCCGACACATCTTGATCGGTTCATCTGTGTAGGAGGAGAAGGACTAGGCTATAATGTCCTGACTCCGCAGCAATTTTCACCATAAGAGATACAATCCTTCACTAGAATCACTAAAAAGCCTACGAATTTCGCTAACATGCAAATGGTCGCCTTAAGCATACCAGTCAGTGACATCACAGCAGACAACCAGAACGTAACAAAATCGACCAACGCCGAAACACCGACTCAATCACCAACCTGGGACTAACCGCATTTCTCTCCAGGTCCGCCCCGGCCAAAGCCACATCTCCTCCGTGAGGCGCCGACTCCGGCGGATCTTTCCGCCGGTACGGGACGGCTTCGTCCGCGAATTCCGAAACGCTGGCGCCGGCGCTCAGCTCCTTCGCCGAGTCGGGCGAGTTCGAGTTCGAGTTCGCCTGCAATTGCCGAATCAAACAACTCCCCCCGGGCGAAAGACTCGACCGAAAAAAACCCAGGGCCACGCGACACGCTCCTTGCTACTGTCTCCCGCAGAAAAGCGAAGACTACCAAAATTTATAGAAACGGTAGCGAGAATCCGTACCCGCGGCGCGGGGTCCTCCGCGGACGAGGCGACGATCTTCCTCAGCGTCTTGGCTCCGGCGTCGTCGTCCCCGTGGCCTTCGAGCAGCGCCTTGAGCGAAATGACCTGCTGGATCGCCTGGGATTTGTTCCACGACGGCCTCCTCATCCCTGCACCGCCCCCCGCGCGTCAGCTCCGCCCCCCCCCCCCCCGGAAAACGGACCGAGGAATCCGCCTCCCGCCGCCGCCGCCGCCGCCGCACGGCCAGCCGCGGCGACGGAAGAGGCGGAGAATCACACACACACACAGAGTGAGGGAGAGGGAGAGGGGGAAACGAGACCTTTGTCCTTGAGGAATTTGCGGCAATCCTCGCGGGTGAGCTGCGAGATGTCGTCCTCCGTGAGCTGGTCGAGGGGCTTGTCGAGGATGCAGCCGAGCGACGCCATCCCGGCGGCCGATTGCGCCGGCTCCCGGCGGCGGCGGCGGCGGCGTCGCGCTAGAGAGAGAGAGAGAGAGGAGAGAGAGTGGGCGGTGGGAGTGAAAGAGAGAGAGTGAGAGAACCTTTTTTTTTTCCCTTTTTCTATTTTTTTTTTGTTTTTTATTTTTTTATTTTAATATCTCCTTGGGGTTTTACGGAGGCTGAAAATGCACCCTAAGCTGCCACGTAAGCAGGCGCCGGGGAATTATTAGCGTGCGCCAAATCACCTGCGCCCTCTGGATTAGCGAGGCGGAGTTAGTTTAACTTAACCGGCCCCCGCATTATTATTAATTATTTCTTTAGGCCTAATTCCCTAAAAAACCCTCCCAACTTTAAGTCAAGTTTCAAATCTGCCCCAAACTTTTTTTATCTCTGAAAAAAAACCCCAAATTTTAAGTCCAGTCTCAAATCTGTCCCAAATTTTGTTTTGTGCAAAAAAAATCATCAAAATTCAATTTATTTTCAAAAATATACTCCTGTGTTCCAGTCTCAACTTGACGTAGCACTTCCACGTCGATAACAAATCCACATTAACAAAGTAATGGGGCTTTTTTTTAGACAATGAAAAGTTCGGGGCAAATTTGGACTTAATCCTAAAAATTGGGTTTTTTTTAATATTAAAAAAGTTTTTTTTGGGTGGATTTGTTATCGTCCCTCACTTTCATATCCTAGATCTATTAACAATTTTTATTAGGTTGGATTTCTTATCCAACTAGAAATACGACGTCGGCCTGTACCTATCGCCTCATTACTTTGCTGATGTTGATTTGTTATCGATGTGGAAGTGCCACGTCAAGTTGATACTAGATAACGGGGGTATATTTTTTAAAATAAATAAAATTTGCTGAGTTTTTTACACAAAATAAAATTCGAGACAGATTTGGGACTGAAGTTAAAGTTTTGGGTCTTTTCAGAGACAAAAAAAGCTCGGGGTATATTTGACACTTAGGTTGTGGCTATACCATTTATAGGAAAATATTTGCACGAGCGCACTTGGGCTGCTGAGCTCTCGCGGCAAGATTTTAAGTCTGATGGTAATCGAATCCATGTCGATGTTGCTCGGTGCCGTTTAATGCGGTCTTCGAACTTGTAATCCGTACCGGTTAGGATCTGCAGACCGATAACGACGTGAATAATCTATTTCGGCATGAAGGCGGAACCCAATGTTTGTCGAGTTACAAACGTAGAAATTGCTCATCTTCTCTTTGGATTACTTCGTGATAAAAGCCTGGCTTTGCGTACATACATTCGTGTGCGCGGGAGAGGAACGGACGACGGGGCTCCCGACCATGCCTCTCGCCCTCGTTGGTGTCTTTAAATACATTAACACGGGATGTTTAGGGAGAAAGGCCTCGACAGCTATCGGGATTCGCCCACGTGTCGGATAGTGATTGGTCCCTCGGCACGCTTAGCACCCATTTCGTTTATTCATGTGTACATATAAAATGTTGCGACGATATGGAGTATGTTATTCGCGGAGCCTATATAAGATTGATATTGTGAATCAACGGTTACACTTCGTAGCTGCTAGCCAAAGCCCACGACGCCACCTCCGCCCCGCTAACCGCCGTTGCCTTGGACATGCTGCCTCGGCTGTTAGGGGTATCAATGGGTCCGATCGGTACATGTTTGCAGGAGACCCCTATCCGACCCGAAAACGAGTCTAGAGAAGCCGGATTTCGAATATATTGGGAATGCACACTTCATGGAGGCCATCGCAACCATTCCTTAAATAGTTCACCATGGAGATTTCTATTTCAAATGCGGGGTGTCTTAGATAGAGAAGAGCTGAGGAGGATGCAGATCGCGTTTCTCCTTGGAAAGTAGGTTTTTTTTAATGTTTCCGGGTCACGGTTTCGATTCTAGTTCTCAACCAAAACTCGAACCTAATGGGAGATTTTTTCTTTCTCTTTTGGTTTAATGACCCAAAACTAGAATGCAATTAACTCGGCTCGATTCGAACTTCAAAAATTGTTCCGGCCAAGCGCTTTCGGTTGGGTTCTTGGCTTCTCGGGCCTCTCGAGTTCTTTTGACAGCCTTATCGGATGTTGCTAAACCACCTAGGAGGCCATCTCTCACCATGTCCGCTATTTTGTCATCTCCTCTTCCACCCTCCGCCTCCGCCGCTACTGGTACCACCGCTGAGACCACTCCCACCAACTCTCTCTCTCTCTCTCTCTCTAGACTTTTGACTACGATACCCAAAGAAAAACTAAGTGTCCAGTCCAAATCATAGACAACGACATGTGATGTCAATGTCCAAGTTGTAGGAGCTAAGGGCCTGTTTGGCAACTTGCCAAATAGTGATTAATTCTGTTCTTTTGTTCTCAGAATCAGTTTGGGAACAGAAATTCGTTTGTTGAATTTTTTGTCCCGAGCACAATTTTTTAAAAAATGGTGCCCAGAATCAGTTTTGGAACAAAATCAAGAATAAAAAAAAAGTAGCTTCTTGATTCTGGAACAATTTTTTCAAAACTGATTCTTCTTGGTTTTTTTCTTTTTTTGGGTTGTTGTTCTTCGGCCCCGCCACCTGCCGGCGAGGGCGTCGCGGCCCTCATCGGTGGTCGGCGAAGGCGGCTCACGGCCTCGCCCAGCCAAGGCGAGGCCGACCTCACCATCGCCACCCAGGTCTGTCGCTTAGGTGGCGACGGCGAGGTTGGCCTTGCCTTGGCTGGGCGAGGCTCGACCTCGCCGTCGCCAACCCAGGCGAGGCCGGCCTCGCCAGATCTGGGCGAGGCTCGACCTCGCCCAGCCAAGGCGAGGCCGACCTCACCGTCGCCACCGGCGAGGGCGGTGGTGAGGGTCGCGACACCGGCGCCGGCCATGGCCAAGAAAGGAAGGGGAAAGAAAGAAAAAAAAGGAGAAAAAAAGAAATAAATATTAAAAAATTCAAAATATTATTAACAAAAAGAAATAGTTACCAAACGCATTTTTGTTCTTTTTCTATTCTAAGAACAAAAATTTTGGGCAGTTATCAAACGCATTCAAATGCTTAGAAATTGTTTCGGGCATAGAATAAAAAAGAATCATTTCTGCCCGAAATCATATTCTGGGTACAAAATGGTTGCCATGCGCAACCTAAATATTTCTCATTTTAGAGAGAGTTTAGATTCGAGCCATTTGTAAGAGAAGATCTTTGGTGCATCTTGGTTTATATAACGCATCTAGCAAGTGTTGGATATTTCAGATTTTTCCAATAATAAGAATATGTCGATTTATGCCTCTGATGATGGACAGCTCTTAGAGATCAAAGTTAGGAACTACCACATAACCCGAGTTACAATCGTGACTAACTCGACTCATTCGTGCACGGTCGATGTCCGACTTCATTCACCTCAATCATGCTGTACCAACATTATCTTTGTTCTAACATTCCCACACAAGAAAATAATTTTTCCTATCCATAGACTATAGTATAGAGTAGAGAGAGAGAGAGAGAGAGAGCTATTCCAATGCAAATAAAGTTACATCTTGTGGACAAAAGATAGTAAAGTAATACAACTATGCCTATGCCGGGCCTTCCAAGAATCATCCCCTATGTTATCTTGAATATGAACTGGGGCAATGTCTCTACACTTTCCTCACGAGGCCCCCAAAATTCATACTCTTGCCCCTGATCTGAATCGCACGAGGGAAACTTCCATCAGATCCACTAAACAATGCACACATGCATTTCTCTGTCACGGATGCAGGATCCAGTACAATGACGCAGAACAATTCAATGGGTGGTTTCAGCTCTGGCGCAACAAGACACGTTGTAGAGGACCTGATAGAATCCTCCATATCATTCTCTTTTAAGGGTCGTGTAGATCTACACTATACTGTCTCTCTCTCTCTCCTCCTGCATCTTCCATGGCACGGCACAGCCTCAAGGAACCATCAACATACGCATCGAAGCAAGTACTTCGCGAGCTTAGCTTTCATCGCCCATGGAAAGTGAAACCTCAGCCGGCAAAACTGAAACCCTAGCATGCAAGTTTCTTTATCCCACCTTCCTTTGTCCTTTGCATTGTCTCTCGACTTCAACATCCCTCTGTAGAAATACCCACACGCACTTGGCGTATTTCATGGACTGGCCTGGGACTTCTCCCCCCCTGCCCTCGGATTCATTTGCCCACACGAACTGCCACTGAGGAAAGATTCGTCTCTTTGTCTTCCTTTCTTCTTTATTTGACCCCTTTGTCAGAAACCTAATCCTCTCCTTTCCACATTATTGCCCAAGAACTCATACCCACACGCATTTTTTCGCAGCATATATGGACTGACTAGTGACTAGCACCAGTGCTAGGCCACATTATTCCCCTCCGAAATGAATTTCTCGCGACTTTCTTTTTCATTTCCTTGCCCTCTTTTCCCCTTGCTCTGTGCAAGAAACGGAAGGCGTGTGTTGACAGTGCTCTGTCGTTATCTTTGAGAATTCTGCCTGCGGGACAAGCATGAGAATAGCAAAGAATAGCAAGAACGAACAATGAAATGATGGTAAAGCCTTTTTCCTTTCTCTCTTCTCTCCTCCCTTCTCTTTTCTTTTGCTGTTGTTGTTGTTGTTTTTACATGGGCATAGGAAGCTCTCTCTCTCTTCCTCATCGATTTCTGGTCTCGCCTTTCTGGTTTCTTTTCCCCATCAGTTACTGTTGCACCCAGCACCTGCCATCATGCAAGTTTTTTTTTAGGGAGTGCGTGGAAGCAAAAACCTAAGAATTATGCATCATGGCGTAGGTCCCTGCTTGTCAGCACAATCGTACAAAGAAAAAGAAGAAGATAAATTATAAATTCAAATTCAAATTCACTCTTTATGAAGGATTCATTGTGTTTTCAATACATATTATTCAGGATAAAAATTATAAATTGATACATCTATGATAATTTTATTTCGAATAAATTTTTTGACCATAAAAAATTTCAAACCGGTACACCTGTGACAAATTTATCTCGAGCTATTTTTTTACAACAAAAAATCTCAAATTTGTACACTTGTAATAATTTTACCCTGAACTATTTTTTTTACCACCAAAATCCTCAAAATGGTACA